AATGGAAGGACTCCGACCTGGGAATTTCCGGACAGCTTACTTGGACACGGCTGCCACAGGGGTTTAAGAACAGCCCCACCCTTTTTGATGAGGCCCTACACCAAGATCTGACTGCTTTCAGGACCCTCCACCCCCACCTGATCCTGTTACAATATGTAGATGACATCTTGCTGGTGGCAGAGACACAGGAGAAGTGCCTAGCAGGTACGGAGGCTCTTTTGCAAGAATTGGGACAGATGGGATACAGAGCCTCAGCAAAGAAGGCCCAGCTCTGCCAGAAAGAGGTAACCTACCTGGGATACCGGCTAAGCGGAGGACAGAGATGGCTGACATCAGCTCGCCAGGAGACCATCTTGGGCATCCCAGCACCTCGTGATCACAGACAGGTGAGAGAATTTCTGGGGACTGCCGGGTTTTGCCGCCTATGGATTCCAGGATTCGCAGAAATGGCGGCCCCCCTGTATCTCCTGACCAAGACAGACGGACCCTTCATCTGGGAGGACCACCACCAACAAGCCTTCGACCACATAAAGAAGGCCTTGTTGGAAGCTCCGGCTCTTGGCCTGCCTGATCTGACAAAGCCATTTGAGCTGTACATTGATGAAAAGCTGGGGTACGCGAAAGGGGTCCTGACCCAAAAATTAGGGCCATGGAGACGCCCTGTAGCCTACTTGTCAAAGAAACTAGACCCAGTGGCAGCCGGCTGGCCCCCTTGTCTGAGAATGGTGGCAGCCCTGGCAGTCCTGGTCAAAGATGCCTTTAAATTAACTTTGGGTCAGCCTCTTTGTGTTCGAGCCCCCCACGCCCTAGAGTCTCTCATCAGACAGCCCCCGGATCGGTGGCTTTCAAATGCCCAGATGACTCATTACCAGGCCCTGCTTTTGGACTCTGACCGCATCCAGTTCGGACCCCCCGTCGCTCTCAATCCTGCAACCCTGCTACCTAGCACAGAAGAATCCGACTCGCAGGGCGGCCATGACTGTCATCAGGTCCTAGCTGAGGTTTTCGGCACCCGACCAGACCTGAGCGACAAGCCACTGGAGAAGGCAGATCACACTTGGTACACAGACGGGAGCAGCTTCCTTGAAGGGGGACAACGCCGGGCTGGAGCCGCAGTCACCTCAGACAGCAAGGTAATATGGGCCGAGCCCTTACCAGAAGGAACGTCCGCACAGAAGGCCGAGCTGATAGCTCTGACACAGGCCCTGCGGCTGGCAGAAGGTAAGAAGCTAAATGTGTACACGGACAGCCGATACACCTTCGCCACTGCACACATCCACGGAGAAATTTACAAAAGAAGGGGGCTCCTCACATCAGGAGGGAAGGAAATAAAGAACAAAACAGAAATCTTGGCACTATTGGAGGCTTTGTTTTTACCAAAAGAGCTCAGTATAATGCACTGTCCAGGCCACCAGAAAGGAAATCACCCAGAGGCAAGGGGAAGCCGCCTAGCCGACCAGACGGCTAAGGACATTGCCTCCAAGAGTCAGGTTCTGACTATGCAAATGGACCCTGAACGCCAGAGACGGGAAGCCATCAGAGACTACACCCCAGAGGACAGAGAGTTACTCGAGAAAATTGGGGCTTTCAACAACCCAGAGACTGGCTACTGGGAGTACCAAGGAAAAACTGTCTTGCCTCAACGATCGGTGGAAGAGCTCCTGAATGAGCTCCACAAATGGACCCACTTGGGAGTGAACAAAATGAGAAAACTGATTGAGAGGGAAGAAACAATCCTCTATCTGCTAAACAAAGATGCCATCCTACAAAGAATTGTTAAGAACTGTAAGGCCTGTGCCCAGGTAAACTGGGGCAAAAATAAAGCTTCAGGAGGAGTCAGACAAAGAGGCCACAGGCCAGGAGTCCACTGGGAAGTGGACTTTACTGAGGTTAAACCAGGAATGTATGGCTATAAATATTTGTTAGTTTTCATTGACACTTTTTCAGGATGGCCAGAAGCCTACCCAACCAAACAAGAAACTGCAAGAGTGGTGTCCAAGAAGCTATTAGATGACATCTTTCCCCGATTTGGGATGCCACAGGTAATAGGGTCAGATAACGGACCAGCCTTTGTCTCCCAGGTAAGTCAGAAGGTGGCCAGGTTACTGGGGATTGATTGGAATGGTATCCAAGAAGCTATTAGATGACATCTTTCCCCGATTTGGGATGCCTCAGGTAATAGGGTCAGATAACGGACCAGCCTTTGTCTCCCAGGTAAGTCAGAAGGTGGCCAGGTTACTGGGGATAAATTGGAAGTTACATTGTGCTTACCGGCCCCAGAGTTCAGGTCAGGTAGAGCGAATGAATAGAACCATTAAGGAGGCTCTAACTAAATTCTCGCTAGCAACTGGCACTAAAGACTGGGTTACTCTGCTGCCTTTGGCATTATACCGGGCCAGGAACACTCCTGGGCCCAGTGGGTTGACTCCATTTGAAATCCTTTATGGGACCCCTCCCCCTGCAATCTCCTTCTTAGACCCCGACATTTCTAACTTTGCTGATTCTCCTTCCCTATTTGCTCACCTGAAGGCACTGCAGCTGGCTCACCAGGAAATCTGGAAGCCCTTAGCTACGGCCTATCAGGATACTATTGACACTCCTATTGCACCCCACCCCTTCCAGCCCGGGGACGCTGTCTGGGTCCGGAGGCATCAGACTCGGAGCCTAGAACCACGCTGGAAGGGACCATACACCGTCCTCCTCACCACACCAACAGCTCTTAAGGTCGACGGGATTGCAGCCTGGATCCACGCCTCCCACGTCAAGGCAGCGAACCCTGAACACCAAGAACAGCCCTCTGACGAAAGGAAATGGCGGCTAGTCCGGACAGAAAACCCCTTAAAGCTAAGACTCACTACAATTTAATGATCCTAATTCTGTTTTCCCTTATTCCCGCTATTCAATGTCCCAACCCCCATGCTGTGTACAACATAACCTGGACCTTGATTGGTCTCCGAGACAACCAGCCCCTTAATCAGACCTCTAAGGTGGGGACTTTAGGCGCCACCTTTCCGAGCTTAAGCTTTGACCTCTGCAAATTAATCCCTGGATCTTGCTGTGGGACAGGTGGTCGTTTCCATGGGGTATATGCATGCCCAGGGAATGGGAGAGAACCAGGTCTCATAACTTCATGCAAGGGACCGGAAGTAGGTTATTGTGCTGTATGGGGCTGTGAGACCGCTGGGACCACTTACTGGAAACCCAGCTCTAGTTGGGATTTGATTAAGCTGTCCGATGGAGGGACCAGAACATGTACAGGTACTAACCGGCTAACTATAGAACTCACAGAGCACGGGAAAAAGGCCGACTGGAGCCTCCAGAAAACATGGGGCATATATGTTTACCTCCCTGACTGGGGATGGAAAGATCCCTTCGGCCTTATTACGATAAGGAGAGAATACTCTGTCCTTGCCCCACCTCAGTCAGTCGGACCAAATCCCGTCCTTCCAGACCAGCGCCCGGCCTCGGTACTTAGAGCTCCCTCACTGGATGGTCGGAATCAAACCCATAACAGACTCCAGGGACCCTTAAAACCTACCCCAACCACACCAGGTACCGGGGATAGGCTCCTAAATCTAATCAAGGGGGCATTCCAGGCACTTAATCAATCTGATCCTGGAAAAACTAAGAGCTGCTGGCTGTGCCTTAATCCACAGCCCCCCTACTATGAGGGCATTGCCATTCAGGGAAATTACTCTAACCACACAGAAGCCCCCGCCGCATGTCTAACCGGGGAACATCAGTTAACCCTGACTCAGGTGACCTCTAGTGGCACCTGTATTGGAAACCCCCCTAACGCCTCCAAGCTCTGTAATGAAACTGTAACAATCTATCCTGGTAGCTATTATCTGATACCTCCTAGTGGTACCTATTGGGCATGCAGTACAGGGCTCACCCCATGTGTATCAGCAGCAATGCTAAACTCTACCCGAGATTTCTGTGTCCTTATTCAACTGTGGCCTCGAATTTACTGGCATGAGGATGACTATGTACTGAATTTTTATGAAAATTCCCCCACCAGGTTTAAGAGAGAGCCTATCTCCCTCACCCTGGCCGTTCTGCTAGGAGTAGGAGGAATAACTGCAGGAATAGGTACGGGGGCCACCGCGCTTGTCCGTACGGACCAATACATGCTTTTACACCAGGCGATGAACCAGGATCTGCTCGCCTTGGAAAAATCTGTCCGGGCTCTCAAGGATTCCCTTACCTCTCTATCCAAAGTAGTATTACAAAATAGACGGGGTTTAGATTTGTTATTCCTAAAACAGGGAGGCTTGTGTGCTGCCTTAAAAGAACAATGTTGCTTCTATGCTGATCAGACTGGGATAGTCACTGAGACTCTAGACAGGCTCAAACATAGATTAGAAGAAAGGAAACGACACCTTGAGTCTCAACAAGGATGGTTTGAAAACCTTTATAATAGATCACCCTGGTTCACCACATTGGTATCCACCCTAGCTGGACCCTTAGTCCTACTCCTTCTTATTTTAACCCTGGGACCTTGTATACTTAATCGACTGGTCCAATTTGTGAAGGAACGGCTGTCTGTAGTGCAGGCGTTAGTCCTCACAAGCCAGTACCAGGCATTGAGGACCGAAGATCCAGACATGTTATGATGAGTGAAAGATTCCACTCATATGCCCATAGAAAAAGAGGGGAATGAAAAATAAAGAGAAACTAGATGCCATGAGTACTCAGGGGCCCACAGCCCACTTGTTATAACTTAACAGAAACCAGGACCAGCCTTATCTAAAGGCTGCAAGGCAGGTAGGCGCCGGTCAAGCTTCACAGATCAAGCTGTAAACTGGCTTTACGGTCAGAACTCCTGACCACCCTGAGGGCCCGATACCAGGAAATCTTTAGAAAACGTCTGTGCTTCTGAGGTCACCTCCCATTTAGCAATCCTATTTCCCCTTAGCCCCGGACCTTACCCCATACCTCTGCATACCTTTGAAATTACTGGTAAAATTACTATATGTGTTTGAAATTAACCAATAACCGCGTTTCTGCTTCTGTACCCTGCTTCTGCCTTATAAAAACCCCCTGAACTCAACCTGGGGTGCACAAGTCCTCCGAGGAGACTCTGTGCCCACAGGTACCTGTGTCCTGAATAAACCTCTTGCTGTTGCAACCCAAAGGCCGTGACTTGTCCTCCGTGGTTTCACTCTTACACTACATGAGACTGTCTCAAAACAACAAAAGTAAACAAAAAGCTGTTACTTTATAGATTCCTTCTATTAATGTCTTCATGTGTTAGGTTTTTGGTTTGGGTTTTGCCTTCTTGATGGTTCTGGGGACTGAATCTATGGCTTTCTGTATGTTAGGCAGATACTCTCCACTTAGCTGTATCCTCATGTATATTTTTATATAAAGCCTGACACTATGTTTAATAGACTCCTTAGATACAGAAAACAAGTAACCAGTTACTTGTTATTCAGTATGATTGGGGGCCCTGGGTTCAATTCCCACTGCTACAAAGTAATAAAAGAACAAATATCGTTCAAATATATTCAAAGTAATTTGACTTCTATAACAATCTGATGATATAAACTGGAAAGATCGGGGACTGGAGAGATGGCTCAGCAGTTAAGAGCACTGGCTGCTCTTGCAGAGGCGGAGTGAATGAGTTGTTTCTCTGTGCACTTTGTGTGTGTTTTGTGTTGGTCGCGACCGCATCCCAATGGTCTGGGGTGCCCGGTATTAAAAGTCCCTCTGCCCCTTTGCCCTCAAAATCATAAAGCTATCATAAGATTGTTTCGGGTTCAAGACTGTTAGATTTAGGAGTGCAGAAAAAGGAAGGAGTTTAAGTTTAGAAATAAGAGTCAGAGCCAGACCTGCAACAGGCAAGAAATGTGCTTCCTGGATTCAGGAAGCCCAGCAACGCTGAAGGGGGAGAAGTCTGGTCTTAAGTAGGAACTCTGTTGCACACAGCTGCAAGAGTTAACTCCATGCCAGGGTCTGGTGTCCTTGAGGGCCTCTTTTCTGAAGATTATTTGCTCAGGCAGGCGGGTTTATCTATAGCACTAAAGGAGACAGGTGGGCTCCACAGTCTCTCTCAGTCCAGGGAGTGACCAGTTGAGAAGGCTTGAGCAAGGCCAGGCTGCCAATTTAGGGCCAGTTAGACACTTTAAGGGATTTATGGTTTTCCCTAATGAGGCTTGTAGCTCTTCTGCAATTCACATATTCTAACACAGACCACCAGCAAAAGACCCAGACCCAATTCAGATTTTAATTAGCCAAATTTATTAGCTGTAGCCTCGTGGCCTGAGGGGAGAAGAGAACCAGCTTATAAAGGTGAAAATCACAAAGGAAAACCACAATCTGCACACATGGAGTAATGACAGGGTGGTCCTGAGTAAGGTCAAGGCACCCCTTAAGTCAGCAGGATAAGCAAGTTACAAAAGCCAAAATTAGCACTTTAGTCAATCAGCATTCTTTGTTTAGGTTTGTGGCAGCAGATGGGATGCAGCTACATATTTCTGGGAAAAGGGGAAGGGGCTTTTGGAGTCATTACTATTTTAGCATACTTGTTAAGAAAAACAATATTGTTTAGGTTAGTTTCCCTTGGGTGGGCAAGAAACACAGCTGCAGTATGTGGTTGGCGACAATTCTTCTCTGTGGTCAGCTGTTTTTAAAAAGGAAAACACCCTTCTAAGGGAGAAGTAACTTACTGTAACTAAATTCAGACCTTGAACTGGCTACTGAGCTGGTTTCTAAGCTCAAAGGTGGCTACTTTGTGCAAAATGGCGTCTCTTTAGTCATTACAAGATAATTAACCATTGTTTGTTCTGGCTTCTGTAAACTTGCTTATTCAGGGGTCAGTACAACCCCACCTTCCTTGCAGCTGTAAATACCACAGAAATGAAGCAGTTGTGGTTTCTGCCTTTAAAAACCCTTTTCCTGGGGCTCGAGAGATAGCTCAGTGGTTAAGAACACTGGCTGTTCTTGCAGAAGACCCAGGTTGGAATCCCAGCACCCACATGGCAGCTAACAAGTGTCCATAACTCCAGTTCCAGGGGATCCAACAGCCTCTTCTGTCCACCACAGGCATTGCACAACACAGGTGCACTTACCTGCACACAAGCAATACCACGCATACACATAAAAATGATAGGGGTTGGGGATTTAGCTCAGTGATAGAGTGCTTGCCTAGCAAGTGCAAGACCCTGGGTTCAGTCCTCAGCTCCAAAAAATATAAAAAAATAAATAATTTTTTTTAATTAAAAAAAAAAAAGCCCTCTTCCTGACTATAGCTGCACTGCAGTCTCAGATTCCCAACCTGGAGATGGTAGTAAGCTGAAGCGTAATAAAATTTGGGTAATTTGATTTAAGTTTGAATGGTCTCTTCCTGGTGATCTCAAACTCTGTAACATTTGAAGGCCCCAGCAAGATCCCAGGGGACCCCCAACTTGATCAAGGCCAGTGGTTTGGGACAGGCCCAACAGGGGCAAGCCCGACTGCGGACTTGGAATCCCTTGGGAGCCCAAGACCAGGACCACAAAATTCAGACCACTAGTCCAGGATAGGCCAACACCAGGGAGAGTTCGGCTTTGGACTCATGTCCCCCAGTTAGGATTTTGGTGTATGAATGAAGGCACGAGTGAAGGTGGCCACCACATGTCTGTGCCCATGTCTGTTTGGTCCTCATTGTTTATTTTGGTGTTTTGTTCTTTTGTGCTTCTTGTTTTTGTTTAGTGGATTTGTGTTGCAGAGATGGGAGCCAGACCAAGTGCAGCCAAGACCCCGTTGGGTTGCATGCTACACCACTTTCAGGAGTTCAGTGAGGCGAACTATGGAGTCAAGATGTCATCTAGGAAGCTCCACACCCTTTGTGAGCTAGAATGGCCCTTCTTTGGTGTGGAGTGGCCAGATGTGGGGTCCTTTAACCCCAAAGTCGCCCAAAAAATCTGGCAAGTGGTTATAGGGTACCCTGGTCACCCTGACCAGTTCCCTTACATAGACTGCTGACTCTCACTTCTACTTTTACCCCCTCTCTGGTTAAACTGTTGCTCCCTCAAGCAGGGTGTGCTGGATAGCTTTAGTGTCAACTTGACACACCTGGGTTGAGGGAGCTTCAGTTGGGGAATTTCCTCTATTGGACTGGCCTGTGGCCATGTCTGAGGGGCATCTTCTTGATGAGTGATGTGGGAGGGCCCAGCCCACTGTGGGTGATGCCATCCCTGGGCAGGTTGGCCTGTGTTGTATAAAAAAAGCAGGCTGAACAGGGGCCAGGGGAGTAAGCCAGTAAGCAGCGTTCCTCCATGGCCTGTGCTCCAGCTCCTGCTTCCAGGTTCCTACCCTGAGTTCCTACCTTGGGCTCCCTGATGAACTGTGACCTGGGAGTTGTAAGCTAAATAAACCCTTTCCTCCCCAAGTTGTTAGTGGTCGGAGTGTTTTGTCACAGCAATGGAGAAACAAACTAAGAGACAGGGTGTCTCTATTTTAGTCCATAGACCCCTGAGTAAGAAGCCTGAACTCTCAGTTTTAACTCCTGAGGAAGAGGATGACATTGTTCTACCCTACCACTCACACAACCAGATCAGGCCAAGATCCAAACTGTGGGGGACCCTCCGTTCCAGTAGCAGTCCCTAGGCTCTACCCTGTCCTGCCCTCACCACCACACACCAGAAGCAGGATAGATCATGCTGGGACCTCTACCCCAGCTGTCCACCCTCTGAGAGAAGCACCCACAAGTGATCCCATTCCACAGGGGGAAGCCACCAGACCCCTTTTTATAGTCTATGCTCCCTTCCTAGCCACTGATTTATATAATTGGAAAACTCAAATTCCTCCTTTCTCCAAAAAACTTTAGGCCCTTATCAGCCGGTTGGAAATTGTTTTCAAAATCCATCAGCCCACCTGGGTCGATTGCAGGCAGCTCTTAGACACCCTCCTAGCTGAGGCCCGTAAAGCTATAGTGGGCCCCAGGGCAATAGGGAAGGACACTGATGCAAGGGTCGAACAAATCTTGCCCTCAAACTTTCCAGATTGGGACCTGAACACCCACCAAGGTCAGGAGGCACTAGACACCTATCACAGGGCTCTACTGACTGGAATAAGGGCAGCAGCTAGAAACTCAACTAACCTTTCAAAGATAACTGAAGTTATCCAGGGATGTCAAGAGTCCCCTGTGGGACTTCTGTAATGTCTCCAGAATGCATACCAATTATTTGCCCCCATTGATCCAGATGCACCAGAAAACCAGCTGTCTAAAAATAATTGCCTTTGTAACACAGTTGGCTCCAAACAGCCATAGAAAATTATAAAAACTAGAAGAGTTTAAAAGGATGAACAGGTCACAGCTAGTAGAAGTAGTACAAAAGACATTTAATAATCGGGACCCCGATAAGAAAAAGGACAAAAGACCAGCTAGAGTATGGGTGGCTGCATGGAGGGAAGAGGATGACCAAAATTGAAAGTAACTATGCTCTAGGAAGCCCAATCAGGATAGAACAAAACTGGAGAAGGAACAGTGTGCCTATTACAAGGAAAAAGGACACTGGAAGAATGAATGTCCACAACATAAGCAGGAAAGGGGAGGAAAGGTCCTCAACTTGGAAAATGGAGACTGATGGGGTCAGGGCTCTTATTTCAGTGTGCCCCTAAGAACCCTTGGTTGTTGGTAAAGTCGGAGGGCAAGACTGAAATTTTTTTTTTTTTTTTTTTT